GGCATGGTGGCGCATGCCTGTAGTCCCAGCTACTTGGGAGGCTGAGGCAGGAGGATCGCTTGCTGTGAGCTAGGCTGACGCCATGGCACTCTAGCCTGGGCAACAAAGTGAGACTCTGTCTCAAAAAAAAAAATAATAATTTATGGCTGCAAGTTCAAAAGGGAAAAAATACGAAGCCAAGAAAGTCTTTGATGCACGTGACTCAAGCTCAAGCTGAGTAGATACATCATAAATTACTTAAAATATGACAAAAACTAAGAAGCCTTCATTTATTTAATTATTCTATGTGGTAATATACTGAGTCAGCACAGTTCTATGAGTTTAATGACAATTTTTTTTTTTCTGAGATGGAGTCTCACTCTGTTGCCCTGAGTAGAGAGCCATGGCATCAGCCTACCTCACAGCAACCTCAAACTCCTGGGCTCAAGCAATCCTCCTGCCTCAGCCTCCAGAGTAGCTGGGACTACAGGCGCACACCACCACACCTGGCTAATTTTTCTACTTTGGTAGAGATGGGGTCTCGTTCTTGCTCGGGATGGTCTTGAATTCCTGACCTCAAGCAATCCTTCCACCTCTGCCTCCCAGAGTGTTAGGATTACAGGCGTGAGCCACTGCACCCAGCCAGTTTAATTAAATTAAAGACACTGGTGCTGAAATTAAAGACACTGGTGCTGATGGGGGTTTTACTACATCAGAGCTGTAGAGGATTCTTAGAGATTCTCTGAGAAAGTTTGTGAATTTGAGGATAAAAACCTCATTTCCGGACATTAAGTTTATTTATTATACAATGATGATATATATAATATATAAATATATAAAATTAAAGATCCACAGAGATTAAATTATTAACTAAATCCATTGTTTCTGTTGCGTAAGTGTTATAAAATATTTAATAATGTTATTTAAGGCCAGGCGCGGTGGCTCACACCTGTAATCCTAGCACTCTGGGAGGCCGAGGCGGGTGGATCGCTCAAGGTCAGGAGTTCGAGACCCCGTCTCTACTAAAAATAGAAAGAAATTATTTGTACAACTAAAAATCTATATAGAAAAAATGAGCCGGGCATGGTGTGGCGCATGCCTGTAGTCCCAGCTACTCAGGAGGCTGAGGCAGTAGGATTGCTCGAGGGCAGGAGTTTGAGGTTGCTGTGAGCTAGGCTGACGCCATGGCACTCTACTCCAGGCAACAGAGCAAGACTCTGTCTAAAAAAAAAAAAAAAAATAATGTTATTTAATAATCACATACATGTTAATTTAATAATGTTATTTAATAATCATATATGTACTGGGTATTTATTCCTTCCCTTAATGTTAAATCTGACATTGGTGCAGACACCATTAGCTAATGCAAACAGATAGGTGAAGACTACAGTAGTATATTGTCTCTCAAACTATGACAATAGTGGCATTAAAATCCAAAATGTACACTGCTCAACTTTAACCCTAAACTGACAGACTACTTGGTATAATCCAAGAGATTTGGCCCAGGGTAAGTCCTGTCATCAGAACCACTTAAATCTTTTCAGATTCGAGAACTTAAAGTTGTAAACTCCTTGCTTACATCTTCCCCAGCCCCCTAAGTAATAAGATCATTTAAATAAAGAGTGGTATGGGGTTGATTCCCAATGAGGGGGTGAGACACATCCTCCTTAAACGGAGGCAGGTGCTTTTACATTTGTCCCTGCCCACCCCTGCCTGAGACTGATCATCATTTCCCCTTCACTGAGAATCACTGCTTTTGTTAAATGAAACATGATTACCGGCCACAGTGTGCCGTATCTCTCAGGTATGTTGGGGGCACAGAACAACAACTGAGAGTCACTGCCCTAGATGTCCATATGTGAAGAAAACACTGGAGATAAAAGTTTATATTCTGATCACACTTCTGAAGAATAACCAGTGAGGTTTCAAGTGGAATCATCATCCTGATAAAAGATGGTTATGTGAAATTCTTCAATTAGAACTGGAAATAACTGAGTACCTATTACACATTACACTAGTGGATATGTTCTTTGGCTATAAATGTACAACACTGTGTGACAGACTTCTTAAAACTTCAAAGATGAGAAGACTGCCTTACTAGCCTTGACTGCAGAAAGCACCATGTTATTTGGCCTTGCCCTACAGGAATACTGTGGGCACCAAGCATATTGTGAATAATCAACAGGGCTTTAAAAATAAGCCAGAGAGGGCGATGTCTCTGTTAGTTAAATTTTTTTTTTTTTGAGACAGAGTCTCACTGTCTTGCCCAGGCTAGAGTGCCATGGCAACATCATAGCTCACAGCAACCTCAAACTCCTGGGCTCAAGC